GGATACTTCTGATTCAGCTGTTGGGGCTATACTGTCTCAAAGGACTGGACCTAAGATGTTGTTACATCCATGTGCCTTCTATTCCCGCCATATGTTACCAGCAGAAAGAAATTATGACATAGGGAATAAAGAACTTTTGGCTATAAAAGCTGCCTTTGCCGAATGGAGACATCTCTTGGAGGGAGCCACCCATCCAATTACTGTCCTCACAGATCACAAAAATCTGGAATGTATTCAATCCGCTAAGAGACTGTCACCCAGACAAGCACGCTGGTCCCTATTTTTCTCCAGGTTTAATTTTTTTATTTCATACCGCCCTGGTTCCAGAAATGGCAAGGCGGATGCCTTGTCTAGGATAGCTGACCCCCTCCATACTACAGTAACCAAGGCCACCATCTTGCCGGAGAGTAGATTTTTAGGAGTTACCTTTCCTTCTGATCTAATGTCTCGCATTAAAAAGGGCGGGCGGGCAGGTCATCCAGGAATCCGAAAGACACAAGAACTACTTACCCGATCCTTTTGGTGGCCTAAATATTATGAGGATGTTAAGAAGTATGTGTCCTCTTGTGATGTATGTGCCAGACATAAGACTCCTCGCTCATCCCCTGTTGGCTTGCTTCAGCCTCTTCCGATTCCTCATCGTCCCTGGGGATCTATATCCATGGACTTTATTGTTTAACTACCTCCCTCTAAGGAACACACTACCATTCTTGTTGTTGTGGACCGGTTAACTAAGATGAGTCATTTCATAGCAGCTCGTGGTCTCCCTTCAGCTAAACAGACTGCTGACCTAGTTATTCAGGAAATATTTCGCTCGCATGGACAGCCTGATTAAGTAATTTCTGACAGGGGAGTGCAGTTTACATCTCATTTTTGGAAATGTTTTTCTTCCATTCTAGGTATTAATGTAAATCTGTCTTCAGCTTTTCATCCACAAAGTAATGGACAGACTGAGCGAACCAACCAGACTTTAGAACAATATTTGCGGTGCTATATTAGTTACCTGCAGGATGACTGGCTGGATTTTCTACCCACGGCGGAGTTTGCCTATAACAATGCCCAACACTGCTCCACTTCTCTGAGCCCATTTTTTGCCAATTATGGTTACCATCCAACCTTTCTAGTGAGTCTCCCAATTACTACTTCCATTCCTGCAGTCACTGACCGGCTAACCGCCTTACGAGATTCCCAAGAACTGTTGAAGGAGACTCTTTTGGAGGCTCAGGAATGTTACAAAAGGGCTGCTGATAGGCACAGAAAGGAGGCCCCAGTTTATCATGTTGGTGACAAGGTTTGGCTGTCAACAAAGAATCTTAAGCTTAGGATTCCTTCTCATAAATTGGGTCAAAAGTTCATGGGACCTTTTGAGATCATCGCTCAGATCAATGCAGTCACCTTCCGTCTGCAACTTCCGGATTCCATGAAAATACATCCGGTGTTTCACGTGGCACTGCTTAAACCGTTTCATGAAAATACTTTCCCTGGTCGAGCCCTGCCTGCCCCACCACCAGTCCTCGTGGATGGTGAAGATGAATACGAGGTGGAAAAAATTCTTGACTCCAGGATCTTCCGCAACAAGCTTCAATATTTGGTTCATTGGAAAGGCTGGTGAGGAAGATAGATCGTGGGAACCAGTGGACAATATTCACACTCCTGATCTTCTTCAGTCTTTCCATGCACAGTACCCTGCTAAACCAGGAAATAGGGCATCCAGAGGCTGCGCCTATAGAGGTGGAGGTAATGTGAGGAACTGACTCTGCTGGGTTTCGAACCCTGGTTTACATGGTGCTAAACCTCTTCCTTACCTGTACACCAGCCTGCCTTTTGCAAATTTACCTAAGATCTGATACCATTGCTTGTAGAGTCAAGATTATCAGTGACAACTCTCTTCAGCTGTGTCTGGTCAGGTGTCTGGTTCTTGGCCTATAAAAGCCACTTCCTGTCTCTGTACCTTTGCCAGATTATTGTGGTGCCTGTACTCTCTAATCAAGTGTGTTCCTGTTTCTCCTTCCTGTTGCTGAATTTGGACTGTTTTGACTTTGCTGCTTCTCCTTCCCACTGACCTCGGCTTGCCTCACTACGATTATCATCTTTCTGTTCCAGTCTCCCATCTCTGCTTAAGACCAGAAGGCCACTCAAGGCTCAGGGGCTCAACCACCTGGGTAACGAGTGGCTACCTCTGGCAGAAAACATTGCTGATCTGGCTACTGGACTCCAAAACTTTGTAACATCAATATCATTACACTGGGTGAATTTTGGCTATGTGGTTCACCCAGATCCCCCAGTTCCAAGGATATACTTTTTATGGGGTTATTGCATGTTTTGGGGTCCCTGTGATGTGTTGTATGAAACTGTATTTCTCTGGCTGTGATAATTAGGTTACCCATTGTGTTCAGTAATCATATCACAGCCAGAGGGGAGGATTTTGTGTGGGAGTGTCTGTGTGTATTGTATGGATTGATTGGCTGTTTTGTAACGCCCTGTGGGCTGTACTATGTTTGTGGATTGGGAATAAAAGAGACTGTATGTGACAGTACAGGGAGTTCCTGTTTTAACCCTCAAAGTGAAGTGTCGTCTCATTATTGGGGGAAGGATTTATTGTATGCTGTTCCAGTTTGACTGCTAGGAGAGTAAACCTATTCGTATGGTTCCTATTCAACTGTCTACAGCATTCATATGCTTGAGAGAAGGTATACGCTTCTCTGGTTCGGTGATTGTGGCGTCTGCTGCAGTGCTTGGAGTCCTCAGGAAGCGCTAGGAGCATCTTTCAACGGAGGTACCCAGTCGGGGTGCCAGGCGATCCGTTACACAGGAACTTGTCCAAAAGAAGATACAAGGACTTTTATCCACATCCAGTTGAAGAAGCTCTTATGGCGAAACGCGTCCTGGGAACCTTGTGAGGAATAGTCTTTATTGCTTTGGCCTTTTTATGCCTAGTTAGTGTTATTTTATAGAAATATTTTTATGTTAAAATAAAGTCTATATATATTTTTACTACTACCTCAGGCATTGTTCCTGCTATTCTTGAAAGAAGGATTGTGGTCCTTAACCACATACACCCTCTGATCAGAGCCGATGTGGATGGCTCTGGGCTTGTAAGTACGAATTTTACTTCTTCCACTACTATTTTAGACCTACGGTACTGCACCATATGTGTTCTCCCTTACTCTAGAAATCAAGAAAGGAAAGAACACTCACCAAAGAAGGGATAGGGTCGCCTTTACGGACCCCTCAAGCCATTTTATTGAGCTATGCATACTTAGCTCTTAAAAGTGTGAGTGGGAATTTTTTCACTCTATATCTATACATATCAAATTTATATCACAGTATACACTATGTTTGGTTTTGTTTGTTTATGTTTTTAAGGTATTGCATACTACCAATGGATATTTAATATAAACATTAAGGTATTGTTACATAGAAGTTTGCACACAAGTATATTTTGCACGGGTTAATTTTATAAATATACAGCGTTTCACCTCTACTTCACGATTTGACAATTTTAAAGAAAATAATTTGGTGTTATAGCAGCTGATCTACTTCGTCTTATTTGCACTTATATATTAGCGCTAGTACCTTCCTTCTGTTTTGTACTGAAATATGCAAATTGTTATTTTAAGTGTTAATTTTGTCATGGACCCTTTTGTTATCTTCATAAGCTAGGAAGTTAACTGATAATGTATCTTGCAATACACTTTAAAGGGACACTATAGTCACCCAGACCACTTCAGCTCAATTAAGTGGTCTGGGTGCCAGGTCCCTCTAGGGTTAACCCTGCCTGCTGTAAACATTTGGGGTTAAGCCAGCCACTAGTGGCTGTCTTCCGGACAGCCACTAGAGGCGCATCTGCGACGCTGTTGGCATATTATGCCTCCATCACGCAGAATGTCCATAGGAAAGCATTAAAAAATGCTTTCCTATGGACACTTTGAATGCGCGTGCAGCACTGCCGCGCATGCGCGCTCCGCTGACGTCAGACGGGGAAGCTGACGTCGGCGGGGGAGGAGAGGTAAGGGAGCCCGGCAGTGAGTAACTAAAGGGGTTTTATCCTTCAGCACCACGGGAGGGGGACCCTGAGGGTGGGGGCACCCTCAGGGTACTATAGTGTCTGGAAAACCAGAATTAATGTGTTCCGAGGGTTGCTGCATTCTCTTTTGTATACTTTGCAAACCATAAGGAGTTGGTATCAATTATGGTTCTCAAATCAATCAAATCAAAATCTCATCAGACATTTAAATGTTACAGCATCTCATGTGGCATAGGAAAAAAATGTCAGAGGTTTATAACAGGTAAACTTAGGTTACATCTATCTTGTCCTGTATGCATGACAAATCACCTAATATTTATTGCACATGTACACTGCAATAAAAAATACTCTATTTACATTAATTGCGGGTAGGAACATCTGCTTGTCTGTAGTATCTTTGCAATGTGAAGCCCTAGTCAAATTGAGGAAGTTATTGAGATCATATATACAAAGGCACTTAAGAAAACATCCTGTTGCATGCTGAGTCTGTATTATTATTATTATTATTACTGGTATTTATATAGCGCCAGCATATTCCGTTGTATATTACAAAGTTTTGTGTCATCTGCAAACACCGAAACATGGCTTTCAATGCCTATTTCAAGATCATTTATAAATATGTTAAATAGAAGCGGTTCCAAAACAGAACCCTGAGGGACACCACTTACCACTTTTGTCCAGCCTGAAAATTTACCATTAATGACAACTCGCTGTACCCTATCCTTAAGCCAATATTCTACCAATATATATATACTTATGGTCAATATTTCATTGGTCTAGAATTTCTGCACATGGAGCCATGTATTCCATTTTCCCTAATGAAAGTATCCCCATACTGTTCCAAAAATGTCAATAGGATTATTGCCCCATAGGATTAACTGGACAGCCTGGGTTAACAAAGTCAGATATTATTTTACACCAAGGTAAAATACACCAAGAGATCTATCTAGTTCAGTAAGAAGGAATGCAGTAATAAATACAAAACTCAAGAATACCTTTATTGAAACAGTGCAACAGTAGACAACACAGACTTTCATAAAGTTAGCACAACGAGCATAAAACTGATTTAGGCTGTCTTTAAGATTAAATGTAAACAACATTTTATTATAAAATGCAATCAAAGTTAATTTTGGTTGGATATCTTCGGTGGCATACTCCACATGGCGGTGTCCCAAAGCTTGTTATTTTAACATCACATGTGATCAATGCACAGATTAATCTCACTTATACTGTCATTTCATAGCTTGGATTGATAAGCTTTTTAATAAATATTACAAATTTGAGAATTTGTTAAATGTGTATTTGAAGTTAGAGGATGCTCAAACTATGTCCTACGAGAGTCAGACAGAGACAGCTCCCGGAATGATCCTTCGTACATGTGTGTATGATTTTCTTATGGTAACACTGCTGTGGTGGGATACACCTCTTGGTAGTACACACTCTTCGGTCAACTTCTCGTTCTCTGTATTCCAGCACATAACTGTTGCAATGACTTCATTTTTCTCATCCCGACCACCTGTTATGAATATTTTATTGCAGCACGCAGCTATACCACAACTTGCTCGTTCATGACTAAACTTGGTCACTAAACACCAATTGTCTTCAAGAGGGCTGTAAGAGTACAGGGCTTTCATCGCGCCACCTAAAATAAATAAAAAAATAAATTAGCCATGCAGAAAGCTGTTTATGATCAATGTCCTCTGATATTCTTCATATGTCTTTTACGACACATATGTCTTATGCATATGAAGCCAATTTTGTATCACACTGGTTACAGAGATAGTCATAGTATCTAAAGTATTATCAAAAGAGAGATGATATATGGATTTATGTGATTTATGGTCATTAAACTTTTACGAAAGTGAGAAGAACTGAAAATTGAAAGGAACCTATACATGAAAACATTTGTTTTTTCAGGATTATTTGTTCCCTTCTATTGCTATGTCCTTTTCCACTAACCTTTGCTGATGTAAAATTGAAGATTAATATATTTTTTCTTTACCTCACTTCCAGCACCAAGACAACTCCGCTGCAGTGGCCTGTCTGTCAGCAAACCTGCTGCCTCTTCTGTGATCTCATCCAATTTAATGCTTCTCATAGAGAAGCAATGAGGATGAGATACGCATCTGTGGCAAAGTTGCACGCCTCCAATTAAATGCTCCTATGAGCAGCATTTGATTGAATAGTCGAGTCTGACTCACTTCTGAAGGCTGAAGTGCCTCTTTTGGCTGTCAGAAATACCGCTACTAGAGGGGTATTAAACCTTTTAATGTAAACATTGCTTTTCCTACAACACAGCAATCTTTTACGTTAAAGGGTTTAAACGACAGGACCTCTGCATCCAGACCACTTCATTGAGAGAAAGTGGTCTGGAAATCTTTAGTGGCACTTTAAATAAATGTGGAACATCTCTCTCTCTCTCTCTCTCTCTCTAAGAGGTTTCTGCTATAGAACTCCAAGAATCCTCTTTTAATAAAAAATTACAAATTGTAGAACCATACGTTGTAGAAAACTTGTAGAACAACAAATAGAGCCTGGTCATGCTAGTTACCATGCAAGTATTTTTTTGTATTATTATTACATGTAGGTTTAAATTTACCATGACCACTCAGCAATAGTGATGTCCCGAACGGTTCGCCACGGACTCATAATTGAGTAAACTTTGACCCTGTGCCTCACAGTCAGCAGACACATTCCAGCCAATCAGCAGACCCTCCCACCTCCTGGACAGCATCCATTTTACATTCATTGTGAAGCTGCATTCTTAGTGAGCTGTACAGGAGGTGGAAGGGTCTGGGAGGGAGGGTCTGCTGCTGATTGGCTGGAATGTGTCTGCTGACTGTGAGGTACAGGGTCAAAGTTTACTCAATGATGATGAATAGGGGCAGACCGAACAGCGCATATGTTTACTGTCCGCAGAAAACCGTTCGGCGAACCGTTCAGGACATCACTACTCAGCAACAATTAACATTAAATATTTGTGTTAATATACATTAATGTTTCTTACTGAACTTCTTCAATGTTTTTATATTTTAGGTGTATTTAAAGGCATTAACCCAGAATATGTGTATAACAAGGTCCTGTACAGGTAGAATACACATAGTCTATACATGGTGCTTGTACCCGTAAAAATAGATATAAGAACCTAGAATGTAGCACTGCCCTTTTCAACATGGCCGCCACTGTCTATGTATGTGCATCATGTAGTGGCCATGCTTATAGATTTTTCTACAGGAGATAAAGCAGAACCTCAGCAATGAGAGTGTAACTGCATGAATTTTATTGGAAATAACTACATATCCACACATTTACCAGTGGTATAGCTAACACAGTATGTAGGTACAATATGGAGCATTGCAAAAACTGAACTCTTTAATGTCCATCATGCCAGAGACCCTGTGAGCTATTTTGCAAGAATGACACACTTTTTAAATTGGGTCCAAATTTATTTTATAGGCTTTGAGAAAATGCTATTATATGTCTGTGCTGAGCCTCTTCAGTTAAAAATAAAATAAGCAAATGCATAGAAAATTCATACCACTTAAATGTGTTTGAGTGTTACAATAAAAAAAAAATATTTTAAAAGGGGGCTAGCTGGTCGCACATAATCCGAGCTCTGGGTCTAAGACTCCAATTCAGCAGGTTTTAACCTTCAATGCCTGCTTCCCTAAGTGCACACATAAGCCAGACACCCTCAGGTTAGCCGTGGTCACTAACATAGCAACTTTGAAACTGGTGATTGGCAGACATGCGATGGAAAGCAAGTGCAGCCTATGGGAGGCTGACACGGGGAGAGGCGGCCGCTCTCCTCGGTCTTGAGCTGACTACGGAGACCAAGCATGCTCTCACTCCCCCATCCTCCCTTTGGACCGGTGGGGTTTTTTCCAGTCCTTCCTGAGGTGAAGACACACTTACTCTGCCCACACTCGATGGTTCCCATGGAGAGAGCTTACCGCAAGCTGCAAGCCAAGATGGCCGCCAACACAATGCCCTCTGCACTCTTGTCTCCCACAACTTGGGCCACACTGGAAGGCCAGATATACAAGGCTTTCGAGCACTTCTGGACGCAAATCTGGAACAGATTCCAGCAGCAGCCGCCACAGACAGACACCGCAACCCAGCTAAAATCTGTCCCTTTGCCGAAAAAAGCCAAGCCGGGATGCACCGGGCGAAGCACTAAAGCAGTGCAACTGGTGGGAAGACGGAGGCAAGTACTCACTCAACATGCAACGAGGAAGCATAACAATGATCCCCAGGTTCCAGCTCAAGTGCTACCTGCAGCTTCACATGGGACCTATGGGTCAGGTGAAGGAAACTGTACTCTCTTTAAGAGCTGGTGGGGTCCCCAGACATCTTGCCCTTTCTATCATCACGTCTATATGACCTTCTTGAGGGGCATAGGATGAGCAGTGGGACACTTAAAGGCAGCCCGTTCCACCCGTGGCTGTGGGCTAATTGTAATTGTTTTTGTTCCTTTTTTACCACACGTTAATATAAACCCGGGGAAATTCACTTTTACAGCAAATGTTAGATAATCGTAATATCCCTTATAATAACAGTCAGTATGTTTTTTTTTTATTTTAGAATGAATTCATGTATGCCTAGCTAGTTTTCTCTAACATTAAAAAAAAAGTGCTGTTTTCTCTGCCATGTCAATGAATATTGCTGAATTGCTTGCGCCTGTTGTTGTGGCGTTGCAATCCTGTATGTAACTTTGAGTACGAAAAAATAAATAGTTAAAAAAAACAACTTACCAACAACATAAATATGGTCATGGAAGCTAACAGCATTGATACATTTCGCCTCCACTGGCATTGGCGCTTTTAAACTCCATTTATTGGTTGAGGGATCAAAACACTGTGTTTTATCAGTAGCTAGCTTTCCGTTTGGTCCACCGCCGATAACATACAATTTGTTCTGGTAGCTTGCTGCAGCAAATGAACTCACACTGAACAATAAAGGAGCTACCTGCAAAACACACATGGTAATGAGTAGTTATCACAATAAGTTAGTGCTATCGCACAAAGTAATATAGTGAATTTTCATATAGGAATACAAAACTTTTACGAATGAGTAGAGATAACAGTGAAAGAGATGTTAAAGGTATATACTAAAACAGTGGTTCATAACCTTTACTAAACTAAGGCACACAAAAATATCTAAGGCCCCTAACCAGTGCGCATGTGTACTTAACTGGTAGCCTTTAAATCCTACTAGTTATTACTATTCACTTTCAATATTAAAACTGAAATGTATAAATATTTCTAATTCATTAAAAAAGACACAAACACTGTACACAAACAGTACCTTTTTGAAATGACAATTCAAAAATATAAATATCAAGAGACAATGTAGGGACTACTATGTCTTATGGTTAAAGCCTAAGTTGACAAAAATTTGGAAAAGAGCATCTTCTCATGTATCATGAAAGATGGTCTATGAAGGATTCCAAGGTCTAAGAGTATGTTATATAAATTTTCCTGGCTAATCATGGCAGCCTATACTTATATGGGTTAGTTCCGCCCCTTACAGAAGTTAGGACAGACCAAAATAAGACTTAAAAGGAGGCTCCAGTCCTAAGGTCTTCAGTCATTTTCCTGTCCTACAACCCTTAGGTTAGAGAGCATATTGCTCTCTTATTTAAGTTCTTATTGACATTTATTTCTTCTTTCAGATTTACATTTAAATTTGCTTGTGCCTTCTGCTCGCATGATTTTCATGCTGTGGAAAATGTATTTCGTGCAGTTTGACAGCTGCTGATCGCACAAACCGGCTTCTTGGTTTCAGATAGTTTTGCGCTCATTCAAACGATTGCCGGCACATGCGCAATTTGTGCTTTTATTTTGTTTTGAAAAATTACGCGAACGAAGGGATTCGTATGCTGTGGCGTCCATTTTAAGTATGGGCAAGACTAGTAAGTGCCAAAAACGAGATGTTTAAAGTATTTAAAGGCACCTGCTTTACTGCTTTCTGCTGTATTTCTTGGTGTAGAAGTTCTTAAAGTGCCAGCAAGCTTGGTTTCAAATTGCCTCAGGTAGAATTATGTCTGGTTAGACATATATTATTTTGGAAAATATTTCTTTTATGTATTACAGTTAATTAATGTATTTATATATTTATTTTAGTTTGCCCATTATGACCTCTCCAGCTAACACTCGGATGTCTATTTCTGAATCCAGATAAGCGAAGTTTATTCAGTCCTGGGTTTTTGTTTATTTTTTAATATATTATTAAAATTGTTCTTTTATTTTACTATATACTATACCATTGGGTAATAAATATAAAAGAAACAAATTAAAATCAATGTGGCTTAGTAGAGAAGTAAAACAAGAGATTAAAAATAAGAAAAGAGCATTTAAATCAGACAAATCAGAGGCATCCTATATAAGATATAAGTAAGCCAATAATGCTTGCAAAAAGGCAATTAAAGTGGCTAAACTAGAAAATGAGAAATTGGTAGCCAAAGAATACAAAACCAACCTCAAATTTTTTTTCAAGTACATCAATTCTAAAAAAAATTAAAAATGAAAGTGTAGGTACACTGGAAACAGAGATGGGTTTGTTAGCTAATGAAGACCAGGAAAAAGCTGAAATTGTAAATAACTATTTTTCTTCAGTATATATTAATGAGAATCCTATGGCAAGAGATATGCAAATGATTGCTGCAAAAAACTTGCAGATAACTTGTGATTGGATGACTCGAGACAAGGTGCTACAGCAATTAAAGAAAATTAATATAAATAAAGCTCCGGGGCCTGACGGTATTCACCCACGACTACTTAAGTGGGGAAATAAGTGAACCTCTGTATTTAATTTTTCAAGATTCTTTTGTTCCAGGTATTCTACCGGAGGATTGGAGGAAGGCAGATGTTGGTATTTAAAAAGTGTTCAAAATCCTTGCCTGGAAATTATAGACCTGTGAGCTTAACTTCTGTGACTGGGAAAATATTTCAAGGGTTATTAAGGGATAATATTCAGAAATTCATTGGGAAGAACTTTGTTATTAGCAATAATCAGCACGGTTTTATGAAACATAGGTCATGTCAAACTAACCTAATTGCATTCTAGGAAGAAGTAAGTAGAAGTATAGATCAGGGTGTTGCAGTGGATGTGATCTACTTGGATTTTTCCAAGGCATTTAATGCTGTTCCTCACAATAGGTTAGTCTTTAAACTAAAAGAAATTGGTCTAGATAAATATTCTTGTTCTTGGCTAGAACATTGGCTTAAGGACAAACCAATGTCATTAATGGTAAATTTTCAGGATGGACAAAAGTGTTAAGTGGTGTCCCTCAGGGTTCTGTTTTGGGACCGCTTCTATTTAACATATTTATAAATGATCTTTAAATAGGCATTGAAAGCCATGTATCAGTGTTTGCAGATGACACAAAACTTTGTAAAGTAATAAAATATGAGCAGGATATTGCCTTGCTGCAGTGGGATTTGGATAGACTGGGGGACTTGGCACTAAAATGGCAGATGAAATTTAATGTAGAGAAATGCAAAGTTATGCACTTCGGGGTTAAGAATGCACAAGTAATTTACACTCTAAATGGTAGTGAACTAGGGATAACTACACATGAGAAGGATTTCGGAATTGTTATAGACAATATGCAATATCAATCTGCAGTTGCTAAGGCCAGTAAGGTTTTGTCATGTATAAATCGGGGCATAAATTCTCGGGATGAAAATATAATTTTGCCTCTTTATAAATTGCTGGTAAGACCACACCTTGAATATGCTGTGCAATTTTGGGCACCTGTTTTAAAGAAAGATATCATGACACTAGAAAAAGTTCAGAAACGAGCTAAAAAACTGATAGAAGGAATGGAGCATTTTAGTTATGAAGAAAGGTTAAAAAATTTAAATCTGTTTAGTTTGGGAAAATGGCGCCTGAGAGGTGATATGATAACATTATACAAATATATTCGGGGCCAGTACAAACCTTTATCTGGAAATCTATTCATAAACAGGGCTATACATAGGACACAAGGTCACACATTTAGGCTGGAAGAAAGGAGATTTTATCTAAGGCAAAGAAAAGTTTTTTTTACAGTAAGAGCAATAAGGATATGGAATTCTCTGCCTGACGAAGTGGTTTTATCAGAGTCTATACAGATGTTTAAACTGCAATTGTATAAATACTTGCAAAAACATAACATACAGGGATATAATTTCTAATTACTGTGGTAATAGCTGCTTGATCCAAGGAGACATCTGACTGCTATTTTGGGGTCAAGAAGGAATTTTTTCCTAGTTTTTTGAAAAATTGGAAGCGCTTCAGACTGGGTTTTTTGCCTTCTTTTGGATCAACAGCAAAAACATACGTGAGGAAGGCTGAACTTGATGGATGCAAGTCTCTTTTCAGCTATGTAACTATGTAACTATATAGTAATGAAGAACATACGACAGCTTCCCCTACTAGAAAAAGGAGAGAAAAATCCAACACTTGCGCAGGATGCAGTGGCAAGGCATTGGAGGGTAAACAGCTATGCTTAGCCAGTCTACCGAAAGTAGCAGTATCATCGTCTACAAACCCAGCTCCTTTGATGGATTTACTATCTTGGATAAGGAAGGAGGTAACCCAGAGCATTTCGGAAGCCCTTGAGGTAAGAAAGAGGTCTGAGAAAAGACCCAGACAGAGGCAAGACTCTTCGCATTCCTCTGACTCTGAAGGCATTGAACCTATAAGGGATCAGGTAGACTTCAGCGATAGTGAAGGCGAAATGATGAGTGAAGCCCAAGATGCTAGAGCTGTTGAGAAATTAATCCTTATAGTGAGGAAATCATTAGATATTCCTGAAGATGTCCCTAAAGCTAAAGGTTCAGACAAGCACTTTGCTGATTTGAATAAGCAAAGATTATCCTTCCCTCTACACAAGTCCATTAATAACTTAGTTACAGCTGAGTGGAAAAAGCTGGAGAAGAAGGTGGCCTTCCAAGGTATATTGGCAAGATTAAACCCTCGGAAGAGTGCACTTCTAAGCTGTGGATTACGCCTCCCAAGGTAGACGCTCCAGTATCCAGAGTTGCTAGGAAAACCATGCTACCTTTGGATAGCTCAGCTCTGTGAACCTATGGACCACAAACTGGATGCAGATCTATGTTGAATATACACAGCAACAGTAGCAGGATGCCACCCTGCTGTGGCTCTTACTGCAGTTTCCAAAATAATGAAGAACTGGATCAGAGAGCTGGATTCAGAAGTGGAAAGAGGGGTCTTCATCTGGACCTAAAGATGGCAACTTAGTTCATTGCTGAGGCATCCCTTTGAAAGGTCCTGGTGACTCTGATTGCAAGGCTAAGAACTCTGGGATTCAACTTATTCCACTACCAGGACGATCTACTCCTACTATCTCCAAATCCAAGGACAGCGATAACCCAGAGAAATGTAGTACTGGAGGAACTTCAAAGGTTCGGGTGGTTGATAAACCACGAGAAGAACAACCTGAATACCTGCCCAGAAGAGGACATTCTTGGGAGCCGAATTCAATACAATCAGCAATTCAGTCTCCCTATCCCAAGACCGGATCAAAAGAATGTTTCTCTTCATTTCACAACTTCTCCGGGAATGTCTGGTCACTTCAAGGAAGTTTATGCAACTTCTAGGAATTCTAGCCTCCACGATTGGCCTGGTAAGATGGACACAGTGGCATCTGCCTGTGGCTCAAAAGGCTTTTCTTTCCACATTCGACAAAACAAAGGGAAATTGGAATCAGTTGATGAAGATTCCTCCAATGACAAGACTGCATTTCACTTGGTGGCTGAAGAAGAAGAATGTGACCAGGGGGTTTCCCTTAACAGACCCACACTGGATAATCTTAACTACGGATGCCAGTGCACCAGGATGGGAAGCGCATTGCCTGAACCAGGTAGCTCAAGATCAGGTCACAGAAGGAATCTGTACTCCCAAGCAACATCCTGGAGGTGAGAACTATTTTGAAAGCTCACCAGAGATTCAGGAAAAGTATATGTCACTAGTGCATTAAGGTGGGACCCACAGTCGCATGTTGATAAGAGAGATTTACCCCATCTTGATATGATAGTGACATGTTTAAGGTTACTCCGCAGGCCATCTTCCTCTTCCAGGGAGTCAGAATACAGTGGCGGATTATCTAAGCCGGGTAACCCTGGACAGGTTTGAATGGCATCTATGTCCAGAAGTTGTCCTGGAACTGACAAGACGTTGGGGAGTATCTCAGATAGACCTGATGGCAACATCCAAGTACAACCAGATACTTTTCCAGATTAGGATTACTTCTCCAGACACTTTGACCCACGAGCTTGGGGTCAGGATGCCTTGACTCAGGAATGGAGGTTCAACCTGATCTACATTTTTCCTCCTATACCTCTTATTTATGCGGTCCTGAGAAAGATTGGGAGAGTGGAGACCATAGCAATTCTCCCCTTTTGGCCAAGAAGTCCTTGGTTCCCTATGGCGATTCGAATGAGTCTGGAACATTCCAGAAATCTCCCAGCCTGATCTTCTGATTTAAGGTCCTCTGTTTCACCCAGAACCTCAGGCTCTGGGTTTGATGGTATGGAGATTGAGCGGGAGTCACTTATAGGTAAAACATAACTAGCTATGTTATCAAAACCTTATTAAAGTCTCGAAAAGTTATCACCTCCTCTTCATACTATAAAATTTGGCAAGTGTTTGTTAGGTGGTCTTTGGAGCATGCGTTGGATATCTCTCCACCTCCGATAGCTACTATACTTAACTTTCTCCAGTCGGGACTGGATAAAGAACTAAGCTACAATACCCTAAAGGTTCAAGTTTCCTCTTTGTCTGCATTAACGGGTATTTGTTTGTGCCCCAGACCCTTTGGTTGTCCGCTTCATGAGGGCTGTCATTAAAATGCTACCTACTCTGAAAGCTTTTATGCCAACATGGGATCTCCCATTGGTGTTGCAAGCCTTAACCAAGCCTCCATTTGAGCCTCCGGTTCAAGCTTCCTTGACACTGCTTACACAGAAGGTACTATTGTTGGTAGCAATCTCAGCTAGGAGGATGTGTGAGCTACAAGCATTGTCCTGTGATCCACCTTTTTCCTAGCTTTCAGCAAAACAAGGTGGTTCTCCGACCAGCACTGGAATTCTACCCTAAGGTGGTTTCCAAGTTCCACCTCAACCAAGAGATCATTCTGCCTTCATTTTACCCATTTCCTACATTACCTGAGGAGGAGCAGTGGCATACGCTCGGCGTGGTGAGAGCTCTCTCTTTTTATATTGAGTGGCCTTTATTGTGTCCAGCTTAAGGCACACCTGTACAGGGCCGTCTTTAAGGAGGGGCAAAAGGGGCAGCTGCCCCGGGCCCAGTTACTCCTGGGGGCCCTAAGGCAGCTGCCCCATGGGCCCCCTGCAGCACCTGAGGTAATCAGGGGCCACAGCCCTTTAATACTGCTCTGGACCGGGCCCTTGTAATATGGGGGTTGGCTGAATACAAACACACAGCTAGCCCCTCACACACTGCCCTGTGATCCCTTTTCTTCTCCGTGGCATGCTGGGAGGCAGTGAGGTCAGATCACTTCCTCCTCAGTGCCGCTGGGGAGGAGGCACACACCACACGGAGGAGGATGCAAGCATTGTTGGGGAGAGGGACTGAGAAAGCTGATGGCAGACTCCCATCAGCCTGGGCCAACAAGCTCCCACTGGACCCCAGGGAAGCCACCTTTCTGTACCCAAAAGGTAAGGAGACAGGAGGGTGGCTAAATATGTTTTGTTTTTTTGTTTTGCTTATTTCTGATATCACTTTTATTCAAGTGTTGGTGTTTGTAATGTAACACACAGGGAATAAGTACATGTTAAAAATCCTAGAAGAACCTGACAGTTCCCTATTAAATATAAATTTTAAAAGTATTTATTTTAACATATTATTGCATCAAGTGTTATCAAAGGCTGTATACCATTTTCAAATGTCACTTTTGCCAAATTCTGGACCAGGGTATGTAAGAACAGAGTTGAGACATTATTATGGCCAAGGTTGCTGGGAGTTGCTGTCCAAGAGCTGCTAGAAGGCAGAGATTAAAATATGTAAATGTACACATATATGTGTGTGTGTATCTGGCTGTGTTTATGTCCTTGTGTGTATCTGGCTGTGTTTGTGTCAGTGTGTGTATCTGGCTGTGTTTGTGTCAGTGTTTGTATCTGGCTGTGTTTGTCTGTGTGTCAGTGTTTCTGTGTGTATGTATACCTGTGTATGTGTACTTGTGTGTCAGTGTGTATGTGTACCTGTGTGTGTGTTTGTGTGTGTGTGTGTGTGTGTATGTATGTGTCAGTGTGTGTAAGTGTGCATCTGAGTGTGTGGTAATGCATACATCCCAGCATTTTAATGCCAACACAAATACACTCCATCTCTAGCACTGTACACATATACACCCCTGCATTTATACCTTTATGTATGTGTGTATCTGAGTGTGTGTGTACATACCTGTGTCAGTGTGTGTGTGTACCTCTGTGTGTGGATGTGCCAGTGTGTGTGTGTATCAAAGTGCTTGTATCTGTGTGTCAAAGGGTGTGTATCTGAGTGTGTGTGTGTATGTGCCAGTATGTGTCAAGGTGTGAGCATGTGTCAGTGTGCCTATGTGTGTATCTGCGTGTTAATGTGTATGTGTATATGTGTTATAGAAATCACACAACATGCAAACAGAGCCCTGCAAACACAAACATTACATACAAACACACCAGTTTGCTGAAACACCAATACTACACACAAATGTACACAACACTACATCCAAACAACCCCCTGCATGCAAATACAAACATTACATACAAACACATTCCTGTATTAAAACGCTAAAATTATATACAAACACCAACTCTACACACAAAAGTACACCTGCATTTAAAAGCCAACACTACAGACAATCACACATTACTGCATTCAAACGCAAACACTACACACAAGTACACCACTGCATTCCAATGGTAACAGTACATACAAATACACCCCTACATGCACACATACACTCTATACAATAACATGCTGACATTCAATTGCACAAACACTGCTCAAAAATACAACCCTGCAAGGATGGTAGATCCCCACCTGGCATAGCATCGCAGGAGTTGTATGACAGATGGGGATCTATCTTTTCTTTACTCTTGTGCTACAGGGCAGGCCTGAATTATTATTTTTTTGCACCAAGGCACTCTCTACATTAGTTTCGCCTCTAGGTTGGGGTGGAGGGAGTGATTGCATGCCCAGGGGGCCCAAGCAGATGCTTGCCCAGGGTCCAATCAATATTAAAGACGGCCCTGCACCTGTGCAAAAATCATGCTGTCTAATCAGCATCTTGAAATGCCACACCTGTGAGGTGGATGGCTTATCTCGGCAAAGGAGAAGTGCTCACTAACACAGATTTAGACAGATTTGTGAACAATATTTAAGAGAAATAGGCCTTTTGTGTACATAGAAAAAGTCTTAGATCTTTGAGTTCAGCTCATGGAAAATGGGGGCAAAAATAAAAGTGTTGCCTTTATAATTTTGTTCAGTGTAATTTAACCCGTATAAGCGCTAATTCTTACATAATGTTAGCGGAAAAAGATGCCATCATAATGACATCAGAATTACATAAGACACAATATTCCCAATGATCTTACTCCTCGATTACAAAACAGGGCATATCCTGTAATTTACAATGCGAATTACATATATAAAAATACATTCACAGAGACAAGTTCTAAACATGAAGAAATCACCACGGAAAAAAAGCATCATCTACGATTTTTCCACTTTTAGAACTTTGCCAGGAAGTGCTTTTAAGCTTTTACACACAAACACACAGCATCTGATGCAACTTCTCTAATGCACAGCTACTTTGTATTGTTATCTATTATGCAGTCAGTGCGTACTGCTTAATGACTTCATAATTATATCACATGCAAGTTTTAGGTGAAGACAATGCTTCCTGTGAGCACAAAATAGGTGTCACATTTGTGGTCTAGTTTGCATTAACATACAGTTGCAAGAAAGCTAGATAAATCAGTAGATCTTCTTTAACCAGGCGGTCTCATTTAAATGTTAATGACCTAGTTACATCACAATGACATAAGTGCATATTTGTGTTTGTTTGCTGTAACCCAGCACTGACAGTCACAGCTAGATATACAGAGGCCTTTAGGAGGAAGCAAGATACACAAACCAGTCAAGTATAAAAAAGTAAACACCAATACAGATAATGAAAAGCGTTTTATAATGTTTAAAGACACCAATAAAATTGGTATTATATCATAACACTCACAGTGGATCAGCATGTACTAAATATTGCACAGATCTTGATGGGGGTATTACTAATTCAACCATTTGGGTGTATCAAATAAACCAAATGTCAACAACAATGCATCAGTTGTTACCTGTAAAACCAGTTGGCGTGCAAGCCTGGGAATGACTTGGTGCCACAATATATTTTGTGGTATTCAGAAATCCATTCTGAAATTGTCCTATAACAGGTGTAAATTAGTTGGTATGCTCCTGTACCAGGAACACAAAGTCCTGAACTTCTTTGCGAGATAAGACTTTTTTACAGCTGATGTTGGTGTGTATTGATTAAATAGACATTCAAAACCTTTTTTTTTCTTTTCAGCAATATAGTCTATTAAAATACTGTAACTGGATTTCTCTACCTCTGCCCAGCAGTTGTGGAATGGATCATAGGCCTCAACACTATATATTCTCTGACTGCCATCAAAACCTCCGATGGCGTATACTTTTCCACAGAGGGCGGCCATCTTGTGTCTCCATCTGCCAATATTTAAGTACTCTATTTGGATCCATTTGTTGATGGAGGAGTTATATTTCCAAACCTCATGCTGTGTTTCTTTCCCACCTAGATAATAAAAAATATAATTAGAATTCAATCACAATGGAGGCGTGTTTCCCAGCCAAATGTCGCTAATCCAAAATATTTCATTCTCAAAGTCCCTTTTTTCTATTTTTTTCAGCCTATCAATAATTACAATGCTTTCATTATCTGTTCTGGCATTCTGTTGATGTCAGTGGGTAAAAGACAATAAAAATAAAATAATTTAAAAACAAAACATCAATGCTAATAGAATACCTGAATCTCAGTACCATACAATAGACAACTTTATTTAGGTTCAATAGTAATTTTTATCTTCTTGGCAAAATGTTGATCTGTGCGTACCTGCATGAAGAATACAACAAAGTTTTGACTGTACTAAACACAGAATCAAGAATCAGTCGGTGCAAGCTGGTAAGTGTGTGGCATGCATTCCACAAACTTCACAGGGCGTGTAAATACCACACGTAAACTGCTCCAGGTCAGACTTGTTGCAATACTGCCAAGCAAGGATACAGCCTGGTTTTTGTCCATTAAGGACCGATTCGTCTTCCTGATATTGCTCTGTAGATGCTACAGGAGTATGAGAAAAGCCTGTATCTACTATACCAGGGAGACTTCCTCAACCTTCAACTGCACCACTAAAGACCACCATGGACGTAATAGAACAAGACATGAGTTCACAGATAAACATATACTATATATACTATACATGATGTGGTGAAGAGTGTGAAGTATAAGATCTATACATTGGCCCTCATTTTCAGGTTGTCCCACCTACAGCCAAAATCATATATTAAGGTATCCAAAGGGGAAGTGTGTTATCATTACCAAGACTGTGTGTGATAGTGACCTAATTTTTACCCATACTTGTGTGCATTTCCTTGAATCCCACCATGATTGTCATGGAACCACCCACTGCTAACCCACCACCATGGCTACTTTGTAAGTATGTTTCTCTTTCAAACACTCTAGACAAGTATTATCATGATTGCTGCCACTTTTATTTTTTTCTATTATCTTACTATACTGTTTACAGCCTTTATCACGTCTGTTTTCTTAACCCCTTAAGGACACATGACATGTGTGACATGTCATGATTCCCTTTTATTCCAGAAGTTTGATCCTTAAGGGGTTAAACTTATACTTATGTCTGTGTTTGTAATGTTTATGAACTTTATCAATATCTTTCAACTTTCATCTATTGATACACCATCAAGCCTTGGCTACTAACTTCCTTCAGAAACCCGGCTAAACTTCCGGATGGAGAAGTTCAATAAAGTCCACATGTTGATGAGAATCACCACTGAGCAAGGCATTTGGAGTGCTGAAGAACTGATTAAAGCCTGCCAATAACCTGGCTTTAATTTTGGCAAATAAAGTAAATATAAAAAACAAAACATAAATATGCACAAAGAAATTAAATAAGCGAAATAATAATTTGTCATCCCAGCAGGAATAACACAAATCAGTAGTGACATTAAAGGGGAGACAATGAGCTGGAAATAACCAAAGAGAAATATGAGGACAAGCTGCACAAAAATACATGCTGACTTGGGAGTACTTTTAGATAAAACAGGCATTCTTAATGACGCATCCAGCCAGCCAGTTCTTTGCCCATGTGTTTGTCAAATCTTCAATGAAAAAAAAAAAAATAGAAATGCACAACGTAGAGGCAGAAGTGGTTGCTGGGGTAAAAGACCCATAGAGTAGGCAGCGTGACCTCATTAATACCATGGAGATCAGCATTAGGTATCACTCTGAGTAATGTGAAAAAAGTGGTCACAGATGTTGCATTATATAACCTGCCGCAACAGCAGTAAATGAAATATCTGTGTATCTCCTGTCTCAATATTTTATTGACCTCTTGGAATGACTGGGATGGTAGTGGCATTGGGTATCAGGCAGAATGAACCTCTTCCTAAGAGGTTATATTTAGAATAGCATGGAAAACATATACCACGGTCAGAGTGCGCGTACAAATAAAACTCATGTTTTTTGTTTTTCTTGACCGCATCCATTTAAAAAGCCCATAGAACAGGAAGCAGGTCTTAACTTGCACATATCAACCATGTTTTTATTACTCATGAACCTAATAGTGAATAGTACTTGATAAATCTGCACAGACCAGAACAGAACTCACTACCATTTTAGATTCTTGGCCGAAGACTATCTGTTGGATACAGGGCGAGTTACTATACAAGGGTGCACTGATAGGACTTAAGAATAATTCCAGCCCCAAATATACTTTACATCCATCAATGGATCAAAATGTTGGTATTCTTAAAGTACACACCTGATATGTAAACTTCATTTTTAAAAGTTATACAGGCAAATTCAACCCATTTTTTATCTTCATTTTCATTTTCTTGTTCTGATGTTGGGAGTTTTGAAACTTCTAGTCGGCTTCTTCTTAAAGGATCAAGACAGGTAACTTCAGTAACAAACTTTTCATCTTTTGTGCATCCTCCAATTATCATGAATACTTCAGACTGGAACTCGTGCATCCGAGGTTTCGTTCTCTCTGAAATTATCTACAACACAGAAAAATATTTAATTATGAATTAAATAATGCAGAGTTCATCTGAACTGATGCAGGAAATAACAATGTGACTCAGAAATATATATCATATAAAAAAAACAAAAAAAAAACAACGATATGTTGTCCATTTGTGTGAAGTAACAACTTCACGACAAAACATTAGATTGTATTGTATATAATCAACTCCACACTTTCATTTATGCATTCTGAAGAATAAGTCATGCAATAGAATGGCCTCTTACTACAAGTAAAAGTAACAATAAGACATTATAGTAAGCTTACGAGTAAAAGTAGAATAGAAGGAGTAAACATTAGGTGGTTAACTTGTTACTCACTGTAGAAACTCTGTTATTGGGATGGCCTTTCCCTCCATGACCAGACCACTTCCAACTATAGAACAGCAATGCTCAGATAATTCCCCCAAAGCAGGATTATATTAAAAACTAATTTTATTTATTAGATCCCCATATGATAAGGTTAGAAAGCATATAACATGCTGCTATGGCCCTAAATAATTATGTGGTCGTGGGGCTTGAGGGAACCCATACCTGTGAATAGGTCAGTGTGGTGCAGCGGAGGCTCTTGAGGTTTCCAGGACAGTGATTGTGCAGATGGTTGGAGTGTGGAGGCTGGAGACTTTGTGTTCCTATGAGGGGATGAAGCTCATGGACTGTTCTGGCTTCGGGATGCTGACTATGCAATTGGGCTGCTCAGGAGGACAAGGAGTGACTCAGTGAGTCCTGCCAGCATACAATTAAACTTTAATCATGGGGCAGGAGGCAGGTATGGGGCCTGTCATGGTGGTGCCCATCTAGATGGGTTTTGGCGACCTATCGGACTATGAACTTGGTTCCTTATCCAGCCAATTTTATTTTATTTTCTATAGCACCCTGGATGTCAGTTGGTGAACTCTCCCCTGCATTCATCATGAGGTTCACACGGCAGCGTCTGATAAGTCATGCTCTTGTTGCACATATACCTTTTACCATTTTCTATTCCGCTTTTCTCAACCCTCATTCCATCTCCCTTGTCTCTTTCCCTACTTTCCCTCCCCTACTCTTTTTCTCTGAGTCTTCACTCTCTCTCTTTTATGTTCTCCTCTTTTCCTTTCCTCTATTATTTATTTTTCCCAGCTAAATATAGGTACTAGTGGTTTGTAGGTATGACCGGCATTTTCCTTTTTTCTCCCCAAAACTGCTGTTTAGAGTACTCTGAATTATTTCCCTAATTTGCACCATAGGCATTGTTATGAGCTCAGCTCAGACATATGCTCAGCATAGCTAATTTCCAAAGCATTACCTAATTGTTCAATACGTGTATTGACAGCCTAATCCACTATCATAGAAGTCGTGCAACATGCTTCATTAGAAATTTTATGCTCACCTCACTATCCGCACTGTATAATACGCTACCCAGAATTTCTATAGAGTTTATGCATCATTCCTGGTCTCATAAATTTAATGCTATAACTTAGCGCTAACTAGATTTTTTTCTTTCTTTTCTGAGATTAATATGAAATATACTCAGATTAGATCTAACGAGACATGTTTTCTAGACTCCTAGAACTTTTTTAGGCAGCAAGTTCTTTATAGTAAGAGTCCATTTGTATGCTTGGCAAATAAATTAAAATTTTATCAATTTTTAAAATTTATTTTTTTATTCTTATCCCTCATATCAGCATCTTTCGTTTGCTATTATGATTTAATTGCGTTCTGGAGTCTAGTTAGAGGTACACGCAATCTGCTAACCTAATCTTTTGTAAGAGGGATAATAAGTAAACATTGGTTTCATGCTGTACTGTTGGCCCTTTTCGTGATGTATGTATAACAATCCCTGCAGTTTGTTACCTCTGTTTGTTAAGCTCTGTTGCTAAATGACAATAAAATAATATTTTACACAAATCACCCAACTGAAACAGGGAACTAAAAAAAATATCTTAAGATTGTTTAATATAACTCTCCGTTGAGAGAATTCTTTGAGGGCTGCTGTTCTTTAGTCTTATTCACGTTGCCATGATTAAATGAACAATGCAATCACTATAACCACTACTGCTGTCCGGGTTTTTTAAAGTTTTACCACGATATGAAGACAACGGTTGAAGTAGGAAAAAACAAAGTGACTTATAAAAAACTAGAAAAGCTAAACCTATCTTGGAGAATTTTCTATAATAAATTAGCTCAATATCGTTTTAGTGGTAAGGCATCGAGCCCTTAGGCCAACAGAATTTAAAAAACATTTTTTTTACATTTCTTTGACTGGTCGATATTGGTATGACTCCATCTTTAGTTTGAAGTCTGCTCGAAGTGTGGCCTCAGTAATATTTAGGGTGGGTCCCCTTCTATAGTTATGCTTAAAAAATAAAATAGCAAGATGATAATCTTATATGAGATTTATAGGTTGAAGCTAGTACAACTGGAAATTCAACTCACACTTTTGTCCATGTTCTACCAAAATCAGGGCCACTATGTCCAAAGTCCATGTGCTAAATGTCTATTTTGTCTCATTAAATAAGTCTTGGATTGGGAATTTCATGGTCATTAATCATAACTAGTTTCACCATCCCTATTTGCCACAGGCTATTTCCAGAAACCCCAACTATGTACCAATATTAAAGGGATTCTATAGATACCCAGACCACTTAAGCTTAATGAAGTGGTCTGGGTGCAATGTCTCTGTCTGTTTAGTTGTGTAGCTGAAAGCATTGCTGTGTTACAGGAACGGCAATGTTTTCATTGAAGGGTAAACATGCCTCTAAGGGGCTAACTGGAAGGGTTAAACTCGGTCATAGATAAAATGACTCTCATTGCAAGCATTTGATTGGTGCAGCGTGGTGTTTTGAAGCACATGCGCACTAGCCTCCCAGGGATCACAATTGAAGAGGCAGAGAGCAGAATGCTTGTCAAGGTGAGCCTCTGATCTCTCCGGAGACTGTGGATGTTGTGATGTGGCGGCCATCTTAGGGATGCCATGCAGGCTTGAGGGTCGCATGTTGCAGGTAATTAGGTTTCCCCAGTTGGGAATGGGATATTCCCCACTGGTCCAAGGGAGGGGGATTGCGGGGCACCAAGATATTTGCCATGTTTAGCGGGCCCTGTTGCGGGAGATCGGCCGTTTTCCCCAGCCTCCAGGTCTCCCAGCATGCTAGGCCTCATAAGTGTCTGTAGTTTAGAAAAAACACACAAAGCCTGTGTCCACAGATTCCCACTCGGTTCAGCACCAAAGCACGGTTGTTCCAGACTTCGAATTATATTATTTTGGGCTGTATTAGCCTAAATAAAGCTCAGCATTGCTGGAGCTCTCAGAAGATGCGTCTGGCCATCTTAGAAGTCAGGCCCCGCCCGACAGTTGCCTTTTAATGTCCCTTTATTGCTAAATTTCTACTTTCAGTAAACACATTTCCTCACTGTCACTGGTGAGAATGACTGTTATGTGGCAAGGACCAGGAGCTGCTGCTCTCTCTGTGCTACTTCAAAGATGGCCATAAAAAGGTTATTTTTAATGCTTTTTTCATTTATGTCATTTGTGGTATATATGCTAACTTTTTATTGCTGAAAATTAAGTAAATAGGAAACATTTGCAAATGACATCACAGTCCTGTTTAATTCGGGCACAGGCAGGGCACACAGCACATGAAGACGAGAAATAGAAACACTGTTTAATTTCTTCTGTTCTTTGTATGCTTTCTCTATGCTGACTGTCAGCTGGCAAGGACAGAGTTTATAACAGGACAGCTAAGGCCTCGATTTATAATTTTTTTGGGTTTGCTTTTCAAATGATTTGGATAAACTTTTAAAATTACTTTATTAAATATCATAAAATATATCCTATATAAAACATATATCAATATAACAAAAGCCATCTAAATTAAAAAAATCTAAATACTAAATCATGTTAAATGTTTATCCAAAAATATCAAATCGAGGTCTGATAGTGAGGAATTTTCTCTGTCAGGAATTTCCCCTTGCTATGGTATCATTACAAATAGCTGACATGCTCTAAGTTAGCCAATTTTAAACAGACTGAGCATACGGTCATCTGTAGCTTGAGCCTTGGGTCAATATAGGCAAAGTGTATTATTCCCAACAAGGCCTAACTTGATAAGTACAATAGAGTCACTCAGTTGCTGGATTATGATATGTGGATTTATACATTTAATTTTATTTTTTCATACATCACAAATACATATTTTATAAATATGATAAGTAGACATGATATTACAAATTTGGGAATAGGGATAACCCCCCACCCCCTTCCCCTTTATATTTAAAAGCATTTTTAAAATGTATTTTTTATGTCATTCATTAAATCCACAATCACAGTAAATTGTTGAAACCTGACTTGTACTGTATAAAACAAATAGATTTTGGGAACCACTTTTAAAGAAAACATATTCAATAATTTAACAATCAGCAGGGACACTCCACTGGATTTGATGGGAACTAAACATCTTTTACATCCTTGTGCCAGTTACAACCCCTTCCAAAAGTTTATCACATACAACAACCAAATATATCTTTATTAATTTCTGCTCATTAGTGTCTGACACACAAGCTGAACACCAATGCCCACCTGTTGGTTTACTTATATATACATGTTATGGGGGCACCTAGATTACTGCATTAAAATAAAGTCGGGTGCCTATATTCTCTAAACAGTGAGTTGATAACCTTTCATGAATCCTGGAAAGAAAAGTTTAGAATAATGTTTTTTCTTCACTTATTTGAGTAAATGATCAATTATAAGCCACAGGTATGCAATAAACGCCTGCCTGCCTGAATTATTGCTTTAAATTCCTGGTCACTTCTTATAATAAATAAAATCTCAGCATAATAGTACGCAACATTGATCCCCTTTTTCTCTAAAAATTAATCCTCCGCCATCCCAGGTTCCAAAATCAAATATGGAGTGTCATAAAAAATGAAAAGGCTCTTAAAAATTTTCTCTAAAAATACCTGGATTTAGTTAGACTCAAGTTATCCTTTAAGATAACTTTCAATATTATTAGATGATAAATATAAAATGTTTCTGACGGTGGAGTGTACATAGTGATTCTAATATGTGATTCACTAACTTTATGATAAATACCCATCCTAAAGTGATTACCAGTCTTAATAAAGTGCACATTCAAGCACTCCAGTCCCGTTTTATGAAAAGGAAAAAAAAATCATTGAAGATGCAAAATTGAAATTATGTAAGCAAATACTGTTTCTTTAGGAGCCAATATATACTGCAAGAAAGTGTATCAATTATAATTTTAGATGGTGAAGGAAAGACTAACAAAGGCAGACCTTTGTCTTAATCTATAACAATACAAACAATGTTCCAGTACTCAGCCATTCAGTAAAAACAGCTCCAAGTAGTTGTTTAAATCCCTTATTTTATTGTAAAAGATTAAAAGAAGACCTAATTAGAGCATTCATACCCAGACAAGCATTGTTGTAGTCAAAGGGTTGTGGACCTGTCCTATGCACTTCTATTAGCCACAATGGTAGCACTAAAGTAAAGAAGGCCCTAGTGATAGAATTTATGTTGGCCGCTCCTATTGCAAGGGTGACCAAAAGATAGATCCCCATCTGTTGTACAACTCCTACAATGCGTTGCCATCTGTGGATCTACCATTTGCTGATCCCTGTTGTGCTTTATTCAGCATTGAGCAGTTTGAATGTAAGAATGTTTTTGTATGGAGTATGTGTGAGTGAATGTAGGGGTTTGTTTGTATGTAGTGTTGGCATTTGAAGGAAGGCGTGCATCTGTGTTGTGTTGTTTTTCGAATCATGGGGTGTGCTTATGTATAATGTTGGTGTTTTAATACAGAGGTGTGTTTGTATGTAGTGTTGACGTTTAAATGCAGGGGTGTGTTTGTATGTCGTGCTGACGTTTGAATGCAAAGGTGTATTTGTGTTTAGCGTTTGCATTTGAATGCTGAAATGTAAGCGCATAGAGACATACACTACCACACACATACACAATGATACACACATACACACAATCCGATACACACACCGACACACATGCAGATACGCAGACACATACATTAACACACATACAAATACACAGACAGATACATACACTAACACACACAGATACACAGGCACACACAGACACACATACATACAGACAAACAGAAACACACACTGACACACAATGACACACAGAAACATATGGCATGCATACAGATTCACAGACACTCTGAGTGTCTGTTTGTGTGCAATTGTGTGTCTGTGAATCTGTATGCATGCCATATGTTTCTACAGACACTCAGAAACACACAATGACACACATACTGGTCAAAATTTTAGCTACCGTCCAGTTTCCATCCTATTGGGTGCAGGAGGGTGGCTTTAGCTATTTGCACCGTCTCCTTTTTGGCTTCTCCTCATCTCCCTCCTGCGAGGCTTAGTCTGTAATGTAGGAGGATGTGACAGGCCATTAAAGAGATTCTATAGTGTTAGGAATACAAATCTGTGGCCCTCCTCCTCCGGCAGCTAAAAGGTTAAAAACCCTTTAGTCACTTACTTAATTCCAACACCTATGTTCCTCGGCGCTTGGTTGGTGGTCCGCCTCCTCCGACGTCATCTGACGGGGGGCACACAGTTTGGAAACTGCTGGTTTAACCTATTCTGTAGTTTCTGCAATCAAAAGTCATAGAGCCTTGCCTTAAACAATAGTTTTGGTTGCACCCTCTTCTATACTATTTCCATCTTTTGCCCCTATTCTCTATTGTGCATGTTCATGTGTCTCTCAGGCATTCTGCAGAATCCACGGCTGCTGAACTAATCTTTCTACTGTGTTATATAGCAGAATTAAATGAAACAAATAAAGAGTACATGGTTTCCTTTTCCTTTCATTTGCCTTGAGAAGCCCTATTGAGTTTTCTAACATTACTTGAATGCTAAACTTTATGATAACTTTTGTATGTAAAAACATTTAGGTACTGTAATTTAAAGGGACACTATAATCACCCAGATCACTTCATCTCAACTGCAATGTTTACATTGCAGGATTAGGTCCTAATCTAGTGGCTGTCAGTATGAAGCACTAGAAGTGCTTCAGCAGCTCTGATCGAGTAAAACTAGGTCATGCAACGTGGAAGCCCCAAGGAAAAGCATTGATTCAATGCTTTCCTATGGGGAAGTCTGATAGTGCTTGCCATACATGCACATTAGGTCTCCAAAGCTGCTTTGTGAGGACCATTAAATTGGCCATGGGTGGAGGAGGCCATTCCTCTTCTGTGATGTCTCCAGAGGTCAAAAGGTGAGCAGCGCCTAGATGAAAAAATATATATTTTTTATATTTTAGATTTGAATGCATCAACATTGTCAATCTTTGTAGCTTTTTTAATTTCAACATATAATAACACAAAATCAGCTTTAAATAGGCAACAGTTAATAGTTATTTTTATTCAGTTAGTTTGTATTCTGAAAATGTTCCTCTGGATCATAAATCCTTGGGCATTTGCATATTTACACTGAAATCCTCTTTCCCCATTTTCTTATTGGTCTCAATTTGTACAGGCTTCATTTCTTTGAACATTTTATTAAACCGAGATTAACCAATTCCAACAGTTAGTGATAAATAATCAAATACATTTTTAAAGGGAGAAATTTATTTAAAATACTGTTTTTGAAAATGCAATATTACTTTTACTGCAGGAATAATAATAAAATAAAGTTTCTAATCAAATGTCTTGGATTTGATTCAAATTTTGACATAAACTCATTGATTTTTTACAAGAAGATTCATACAAAATCTGAGTTCAGTTGGAACTTCAATGTCTTCTTGAAACAAGGTTGTGGAGAAAACCTATAGTTTGACTACCCTTTCATACATATCTTCTGACAAACTATGACACTCCCATTTATTCATCAGATTATAATAATTTTGGAGTTCCCATTCGTGGATGGGAGTTTTTTTGTGTTTTCCTTTTATATTTGAAAAAATAATATTTTAGATCCATTAGAATGCCAAAAATAATGACAAAATGTATGTTTCATAATTGTCCATTTTATAACAAATGGTTTAAATTAACAACAGAATTCTATGGGAATCCTTAAAATTGCATTTAAAACATGTAAAAGATGTATATTCAAAAAGTGCTTGGGAGTGAGAAAGTTATAGTATAAATTATAGTGTATATATACTACCAAGCACTTGTCAACTGAAAACTATTAGATGTGCAATGTTTTGGAATTTATATTTTTGGATGCTCAGAAGTGTCGAACCAAATCGAAATAGTCCTTGTAAACGAATATGATGGGTAGAAATTAATCCAATAGTGCAATATGTCAACTTAAATATATAATAGGTAATAAAACAATGGTAGCTTACTCACGTTTGGTGGAGCAATGACCAGCTCCAGTTTTGATAGTGTATAGCGGTATAAGCCCCACTTACAGGATGTGTTGGTGAGTGTCCGTAGAAGATGGTGTTGTGGGATCCATTTGAAAAAGCCCTTTTGTGGAGAAACGCGTTATGGAAAGTATTACTTTGTAATTTATTTGAATAAAGTTGTTTTGGTCACTATACTTGCATACGGTGCCAATTACCTTTTGTTTTAAATAGTTTTATTTTTATTTGCCTGCTCCCCCTTTGTGAGTATTTACTATCTTTAATATCTTACCAATTTTATTGTAATAGAGAGCACTATTATCTGATTTATATATTTTTGTCTTTTGGGTCCCACAACACCATCTTCTACGGACACTCACCAACATATCCTGTAAGTTGTGATTATAACACTACAGCCCACCAAATGTGAGTAAGCTACTGTTGTTTTATTACCTATTACTCATTTAAGTGACATATTGCACTATTGGATTTCTCGTTTTCTTGTATTGCATATATGTATGAATTACACTAAGAAATCTTCTACCCATCATATTCGCTGACACAACGACCTACTGCCTACCCAAGAATTCCTATTGCACTGCAATTATATCAGACTATTGGCTAGTGGCTTCTTGCAGAGAAATTTACTCCTTTACAGGCTGCTAATCTTAACTAGTTTATAAATAGTAGTGAGTGAGACTTTATGGACTAAATTTAATATTGTAAAATACAGGAAAGTAAACACGTTTGGACCTGATTATGGTAGAGGAAAGGTCTAAGGGAAACTGTCATGACTTATCTGGCCCTCCGCTCCCCTGTAGTGATCTAATTAAAGAGGTGGGTGTTACAGTTATGTGTCACCCAACTCTGATCTGCCTTTGCTCCTCCCACAGTCTTCGTTGATTCGCCATGCTTGGGGACACTTCCCTAAACAGGGAAAGCTTCTTCCATGACACCAAAATGCTCACACGCTGGCTTTGTTACTAGCATGCTGGCGGCTGAATGAAGTGACCTCAGTCCATTCCTATATTCCCTAGGCAGTGCTATCAGCTTTATGGGTAGAGAGCTGTCGGGTATAGCATGGCATGTAATTTATCGCCGGAACCCACTTCCGGGTTCACGGCGCTCAGCCCCGCCCCTTTCCCTGACGCGGTCCCTCCACGATACTTAGGAGGACCGCGCCAGATTCAAAGGGCTGGATTATTCGCACAGGTGCTGCATGAAGATCAGCTGCTCTACTTCTGATCCTACCTGCTCCACTTCTATACCTCGGCTAGTAAACGGATTTCTACCTTCTCCACTTCTCGACCTCGGCTTGTAAACGGATTTCTACCTTCTCCACTCCTAGACCTCGGCTTGTAACTCTGAATTCTACCTTCTCCACTCCCAGACCTCGGCTTGTTAAAACGGACTTCCCCACTCTCCACTCCTAGTTCTCAGCTTGTTGAAACGGACTTCTAATTTCTCCTTCATTGGGTGAATTAACCCTTCCAGTGCCAGAACTGCCTTTAAGTTAAGTAATACTTTTACCAAACAAGTCAATTACTATTATTTATATTACACAGTATCTAAAACTCACTAAAGTGTCACTTTGTCTAATTATTCCTCTTACTCATAAGGGATTGCTACAAAGCCTAATTTTACCTACATGGATATTTAAAGGTACAGTGACCATAGTTTCATACCAATATAAAAGGAGGTGAACCTTATTGTTGTTGCAACCAAGAAATGCTGCAGTTGAGTTCCAATTAAAGAATATTACAAAATAAGTATTACAGAATAATCCAGCCCATTCAATGGAACCAGCAGATATTAACTCTCAAGTTTCTGCCCTAACCAATAGAGTGGATACGATTGCTCAAGGGTTACAGGAACTGCAAATTACAAATGAGAGAATATTAACCTATGTTAGAGACATTCAAGGTCATCTTCCTCATGCCGCTCTTCAATCGGCTGGTGATCCTGCTGTCTGTAATCCAGAAAAATTTCATGGAGATAGAACAAAGTACAGAGAGTTTTTGAATTCTTGCAAACTACTAATTGCTTTAAAACCTAGATCTTATCCCACCGAAAGATCCAAAGTCTGTTCAGTGATCTCTTTTTTAAGAGGTGAACCTATGGCATGGGCCCATTCCTTTTTGGAAAATGATGATCCCATATTGGATTCATTGGATGAGTTCTTTGAAGCTATGTCTTTATTATATGAAGATCCTTTTAAACAAACTACTGCTGATTTAACCATCAGAACATTACACCAAAAGAATAGACCTGTTGAAGATTATATTGCAGAATTCAAAAGATGGGCTACAGAAACCCAATGGAATGACATTACTTTACGCAATCAATTCCGTCTCGGATTATCTGAAGCTGTGAAAGATGAACTCTCTCGTACAGAACTTCCTCCTACCTTAAATGCATTGATTCAACTGTCTATCAGTATTGATAGACGTCTAAGAGAAAGAAAAGCTGAAAGGGTTCTTACTAATTCTACCTGGAGAAAACCTTTCACTACTCTAAAACTACCTGAAAAAATTCCTCCACAAACTGAACCTATGGAAGTAGGTATAATAAAAAGTCCTCTTACTTCTGAAGAAAGAATAAGAAGGAGACAACTAAACTTATGTATGTATTGTGCTTCGAATGAACATCTAATTTCCGAATGTCCTCTACTGAAACATTCAAAAGGTGGTAAGCTTCATTCATCTACCTCTATATTGAACGTTTTTCAAAAAAGAAAAGCATCTACTTATTTTTCTATATCTCTCATATTACAGTGGGATACAAAAAGAATCGTGACTGAGGCCATCATTGATTCTGGTGCTAATGGAACTTTTCTTGATTTTTCTTTTGTTTCAAAAAATAAAATTCCTTGTGTTCAAAAAACCAATTTTATTCCAATCAGAGTTATTGACGGTTCATTTATATCCTCAGGACCCATCAAAGATGAAACAATCCCTCTAAGAATGATTACCAACAACGTACATTTCGAATTCATTACATTTGATATTATTAAATCTCCACTTTATCCCGTCATTCTAGGAATTAATTGGTTAAAAAACCATGATCCTTTAATTAAGTGGTCTCCCTTCTCCATCTCCTTTGCTTCTGATTTCTGTAAAAAAACGTGCTTACAACACATTCCTATTCTCCAAACTACTGTAGAACCAGTTATACCTCCATTCTACTCCGATTTTGCAGATGTCTTTTGTAAAAAAGAAGCGGAAACACTTCCTCCTCATCGGGTATATGATTGCCCAATAGATCTCATACCCGGAGCTCCTATTCCTTATGGTCATATTTATCCACTCTCTGAAAAGGAGTTAGAAATTTTAAAAGAATATCTTAATGAAAATTTACGCAAAGGGTTCATCAGACCCTCGACCTCCCCAGCTGCTTCTAGTATTTTCTTTGTGAAGAATAAAGACCAAACCATCCGTCCTATTATAGATTACAGAGCCTTAAATAAAATAACTATTAAAAATCGTTATCCTCTTCCACTAATAAATGAATTAATTGAAAGGTTAAGAACTGCAACTATATTCACTAAACTCGACCTTCGAGGCGCATATAACCTCATTAGAATAAAACAGGATGATGAATGGAAAACCGCCTTCCGGACAAGATATGGTCTCTACGAATATCTAGTGATGCCTTTCGGGCTCTGTAATGCCCCTGCAACATTTCAACATTTTATCAATGATATCTTTAGAGATCTTCTGGATGTATGTGTTATTATCTACTTAGATGATATCTTAATATATTCTAACAATTTGGATGAACATAGGAAACATGTTAGATGGGTTCTATCTAGACTGAGAACTCATAAATTATACGCTAAACCAGAAAAATGCCTTTTTGAGGTTACTGAATTCTCTTTTCTAGGATACATTATTTCACCTCATTCTTTGAAGATGGATAATTCCAAAATCAAATGTATTATTGATTGGCCTGCTCCTACTACTACAAAAGAATTACAACGTTTTCTTGGATTTGCAAACTTCTATAGAAAATTTATTAGAAACTATTCGGATGTATCACATCCTCTTAACCTCCTCAACAGTAGTAAACGTCCTTTTAATTGGAATAAAGATGCACAAACAGCCTTCGACGAATTAAAAAAAAGATTTACAACTGCACCTATTCTACAACTACCTAATCCAACATTCCTATATGTTCTTGAAGTTGATGCATCAGATGCAGCCATCGGAGCAGTTCTTTCTCAACAAAAGACTCCACAAGATCCACTTCATCCAGTTGCCTTTTTTTCAAGATCCTTGAGCTCTGCTGAAAAAAATTATCCTATTGGTGAAAAAGAATTATTAAGTGTTAAAGCTGCCTTCGAAAATTGGCGTCATCTTCTGGAAGATACAAAACAACCTATAATAGTTTATACTGACCATAAAAATCTTGAATATCTCTATACTAACAAAACCCTTACAGCTAGACAAGTTAGATGGAACCTATTCTTTAACCGATTTAACTTCCAATTAATATACAGACCTGGAAATAGAAATAAAAAGGCTGACGCTCTTTCTCGAATTCCTTCTAAAACTACTACTGATGATTATCCTTCTACCAAAATAATAGGAATCCTCTCTTCTCTTCATGATGACATAAAGAATTTGAATCAGAAGGATCTTGAACTTCCCAAAACACCTATACTAACAAAAAAGGATGGTCTATTTTATTTTAAAAATAGAATTTATATTCCTCCCATTCTTAGGAATAAATTACTTAAGATGGTTCATGATTCCCCCCTAGCTGGACATCCTGGAATAAAGAAAACACTTGAACTAACTTCACGATATTATTGGTGGCCTCGCCAGGATAGAACCATTGAATTATATGTCAAAACATGTCCTATCTGTCAAAGGTCTAAACCAGAACATAATCAACCTTTTGGATTACTACTTAACTTACCTATTCCAGAAAAACCTTGGCAATCCATTTCTATGGATTTTATCGTTGATCTTCCACCTTCTCAACATTTCACCACTATTCTTGTCGTTGTGGATCGCTTCACAAAAATGTCCCATTTCATTTCTTTAAAAAAATTACCCTCCTCTGTAGAATTGTCTAAGGTCTTTATTGACAATATTGTGAAACTTCATGGTCTTCCTGAAGAAATTATTTCTGATAGGGGGACACAATTTACCTCCAAATTCTGGAAAGAGATGTGTCTCTCCCTTCAAATTCAACGCAAACTCTCTTCCGCTTATCATCCCCAAACTAATGGGCAAACAGAAAGGGTTAATCAATGTTTGGAACAATATCTTCGATGTTATTGTTCATACCTCCAAGATGACTGGACCACATGGTTACCTATGGCCGAATTTTCTTACAATAATACCATTCATTCTAGTACGAAAATGACTCCTTTCTTCTCCAACTATGGTTTTCATCCGTCTTCATTCCCCATCCAAACCATTACTTCATCCAATCCTACTGTTACATCAAAAAACGAATTTATGTCTTCTCTATTTCTCAAATTACGGGAGAATCTTCAACTTGCCCAAAATAACCAGAAAAAGTTTTTTGACAATAATAGAAGAATTCCCCCTCCTTACAAGGTAGGGGATCTTGTCTGGCTCTCTTCAAGGAATATTACCACAAGCCGTCCTTCAAAGAAATTGAGCTCTCTTTTTCTTGGTCCCTTTCAAGTAATTACTATCATTAATGATAACGTTGTTAAACTAAAACTTCCTCCAAGTTTTAAACTTCATCCAGTATTCCATGTCTCCTTACTTAAACCACACATCCCTGATCCTTTTTATAGAGAAATAGTAACAACTCCTGAACCTATCATTGTCCAAGGTGAAGAAGAATATGAAATTCACAAAATTTTGGATTCTCGTGTCCACCGTGGCTCCTTACAATACCTTATCAGATGGAAAGGTTATGGAGTTGATGAAGACACTTGGGAAGATTCATCTAATGTACATGCTAGGAGGTTAGTTACTGCCTTTCACAAACGCTACCCCTCCAAACCGAAATAGTGCACCCAGAGGATGCCCCATGGGAAGGGGGTACTGTCAGGTATAGCATGGCATGTAATTCATCGCCGGAACCCACTTCCGGGTTCACGGCGCTCAGCCCCGCCCCTTTTTCTGACGCGGTCCCTCCACGATACTTAGGAGGACCGCGCCAGATTCAAAGGGCTGGATTATTCGCACAGGTGCTGCATGAAGATCAGCTGCTCTACTTCTGATCCTACCTGCTCCACTTCTATACCTCGGCTAGTAAACGGATTTCTACCTTCTCCACTTCTCGACCTCGGCTTGTAAACGGATTTCTACCTTCTCCACTTCTCGACCTCGGCTTGTAAACGGATTTCTACCTTCTCCACTCCTAGACCTCGGCTTGTAACTCTGAATTCTACCTTCTCCACTCCCAGACCTCGGCTTGTTAAAACGGACTTCCCCACTCTCCACTCCTAGTTCTCAGCTTGTTGAAACGGACTTCTAATTTCTCCTTCATTGGGTGAATTAACCCTTCCAGTGCCAGAACTGCCTTTAAGTTAAGTAATACTTTTACCAAACAAGTCAATTCCTATTATTTAGTGTCACTTGTCTAATTATTCCTCTTATTCATAAGGGATTGCTACAAAGCCTAATTTTACCTTCATGAGTATTTAAAGGTACAGTGACCATTGTTTCATACCAATATAAAAGGAGGTGAAACTTATTGTTGTTGCAACCAAGAAATGCTGCAGTTGAGTTCCAATTAAAGAAATATTACAAAATAAATATTACACTTCCAGATTTATTTTATGGCTAGTAAGATTTTTGGTGTATTGCATATGTTTTTTCCTGATAGATCACCACTATGCACAACTACATGTCTGTTCATCCACCCATTGTAAAGTGCTGCGTAATTTGATGGCGCTATATAAATATCATAATAATAATAATAATAATGCTGGAGATGTGGTACTGCAGTGAGCACGTTTCTACATGTCTAGTGGTCTTGTCCTAACATAGCCATCTATTGGAAGAACATTCAAGACTCTTTGACTGAGAATTTGGAGGATCCCCCCTACCTCTCTCCATAAAAATTCCGCCAAATCACTTATTCATCTGAAACACCCACTCTCAAATATGGTTTGATAGAGTAGCTGAAAATGTAAGCTTTGTAGGACTCGCTGTAGGGGTTAACTGAAAAACACTCCAGGTTGTTGTTCCCATGGCTAAACTATATTTGTAAATAGCAGAGAAAAGGGGCAGCACTTAGCACCAATAATTAACAACGGAGTTGGAAGGATAGGCTTGCGCTAATAATTATTAATAATTATTGGTGCTAGCCAAGGACTTGGGTTGAGATGTGACATTCCAACCACTCTTTCTCCCCTCTTCTCCCACCCCCCTCTCTTCCTTCTCACCATAACAACCCTTTTCCTACACTATTAATATGAACCCTATGTCGAGTGGAAAATGCAGCTAATGTAGGGGTAGCGAAGAATTTTACGAGAGTTGCCATACACACCCAAAGGTAGATTCCATGCTTAAACAGGGGAAGGCGAGATAGAAGAAAGGGAAATTAAGACATACAGATATTTGCTGGCACATGCTGGACGGCTTTAGGATGGGTAACTTATTCAATAGGTTTATTTTATAAGGAGTTCTTACAACTAGGCGCTATTGTGATGAGTTAGAGTGTGTAGAGTGTATCTAATATTATAAACTTGGTTTAATATTTTTATTTTAACAATGATTTATTATTATTATTTTGTTCTTGTTTTTCTTTATGTTTTTGAATCACGTGATAACTTTAAATAAAAATTGTAAAAATATATATATTTTAAATCACACAGGCTGGCAAACTTGTATTAGTATTATTGACATTTATATAGTACCAACTTATTGAGGTGCTTTACAGTGCCATAAAGGAGGGACTTTAGCAATAAATAAGACAAACTATTAAAAAAATTGACAGGAACAATAGGTTGATGAAGATCCTGCTTAAACAAGTTTACAACATAGAGAAGGTGTGGTATAAAAACACAATAAGAGGCTAGCATTGGAGAAAGCAACCAGGTGATAAAGTGGTGTACAATGAAAATCAAAATGATAATAACTGAATAGTGTGATCTGGTGCAATAAAGAAAAGCTAAATATAAATAAATGCAAGTGGCTATGGAGGAGTATACTTTTTAAAATACACAGGGCATAAGGAAAGAAAAACTGAAAGAAAAAGAAAACATGACAGTGACACTTTATATCTCATAGTCTAACATACTGCTACTATGGGATCAACTACTACCATGGGAAAACAAAGAATGTGTGCTTGGTGAATATAGAATACTGGGTTATATTGTTGAATTTGTGTTTGCAATGTTCCTATATTGTTGCTATCAGATTATTAAGCCCTTCCCATCCTTGGTAATAAAATGCCCCCCTTTAAACAAAATAAAACAAAACAACAACAAAAAAAGCAACAAATTTAGCTTCTAGCTAATCAATAAGTAAACACAGTCCTAGATAGTGTTTCTTTTGTTTCGTTTTATGTGTCAAAACCTCTCTTGTTGTTTTATTCATACGGCTATCAGATTCCCTTACTGAGTTTCAAGGATAGAGAACCAGAAAAATGAATTGGATAACAAACAGTAGACTTAATCCATCAACGGTCTTCCTTAAAGCCCTGCTTTACAAAATTCAGCAGTGTCTTCTCACCGGGGAGCTGACAGCATCTGCAGAATCGGCTCAGAGGAGCAAGTTTCACGCCATCAGATCTAGTGCTGGATAGGCGTTGCATTGTTGGTGCATTTCCAGGGCAATTTGTTTGCATCATAATTATCAAAGTAGATCATCAGAAAGAGAAAACCAAATAAACATTTTAGAACAGTTTCTCATTTTTAAAAATATATTTTCTGTTATTTAATTCTTCATTGTCTAGCTGACCTATAACTAATGATACAATTCACTTATTGCCTTTTTTTTTTTTATTTCCTCTATTTTTGTTTGTTGGTCAAATTGAATAGTTTCATACCTTCAAACATAACATCAAATAAGACAAAAGGAACACGAATAAACATCAACCTTAGTTTTCAAATAATTTTCTTTATTTAGATTTTAAAAAGTTATTCAGCGCCAACTAGCCACTGAACTTAATAAATGCCTGTGTCATTTATTAACTAACAGCTACACCCAAGTGCTTCCTATAACTGGGGTTAAGTATGTCACATCTCTAGGGAGGAATGTCCACCCAGTCATCCTTGCAGAATTGCTGTAAATTAGCAACATTGAAGGGTTTTGGAGCATGAACTGCTTGTTTAAATGAACAGTGTAGGCACTATAACCATTTCATTTGATTGATTGGTTATAGTGCTTGGTGATCTTTGTCACTGTCACCATTTTGATTTTCATTGTATGCCACCCTATCACCTGCTTGCTATCCCCAATACTAGACTTCTTATTGTGTTTTTATACCACACCTTTTCTATATTGTAAACTTGCAGGATACACCAGTAACACCAGTCAGTGTTAAACCAATTCTGGACAGTTTAACAATGTATGAGGGGCCCCGGCAGCACACATCCTGGCACTGGCCCTTATTAAAGGGATGGCTAAGGCAGAGGTCACACACTTCCTTATACATACCAATTCATACCTGCCATGGGCACTGTGATAGGCTGGAATCAATCAGTTGATACTCTCTTCATTGCTGCTTAGTCTTGTTTCTCCTTAGCTCATGCAGCAATAAGGGGATGGGGCTGCGGGTACTCTTGTTTAGCAGTGAATAATTAAACATCACTTAATGGAAGGATGGTACCAGGGAACTCCAGACACTATAACCACTTCAATGAGATGAAGCAGTTAAGATGCCTACATTGTCCCTTTAAATTCCTGTCACAGCATAGCAACGTGGGTGAGGCCTTTGATTAGGCTACTCCAAAACTTTGTTTCTTTTGCACCATTCCAAGGTGGACTTACTCTTGTGTTTTGAATTGCCTCTGCATAACCCAATTTAGCTTCACCTTCACATCATTGGTGGATGGCAAGACATTCCACTTCAGATTTATCTGCAAGAAAGCAGAATTTATGTGTTTTTTTTTTTTTTTTAATGATGGTAAGTCTTTCTGTGGGTTCTTGGATGATCCTCTCTGTGTCTAAGAAGGAATTTTTGTAGGCCAACCATTCATGATAAAATTCACCAATGTTTACGTCTATCACTGTGGTGCACTGGAATCCCACAGCCATGTAAGTGACTCTTTCCAGACTGATATCTTATGGAATTTTGTCTAATTGCAACATTATACATGGATTATTGAGACCTTGTAACCCACTTCACATAGTTGGCAAGGTTATATATAAAATTCATGTTTACATTCAGCTGGGCTGCCAGAAACGACCCTAGGTGTGTCTGTTCTAATTGAAAGCAATGATCAATTACCTTCAGTTAATTGTTTGACAATGTAACTAAAAAGGCAATTACTTTTACAGAGGGACTATTGGTTTTGGGGAAGTTTTCTACTTAAGTAAAACTAAAATTTAAAAACTGAATTTTATGTTGAACATGTACAGGTGATACTCGAAAAATTAGAATATTGTGAAAAAGTTAATTTATTTCAGTAATGCAACGTAAAAGGGGAAACTAATATATGAGATAGACGCATTACATGCAAAGCAAAATAGTTCAAGCCATGATTTGTCAGAAGTGCGATGATTATGGCTTACAGCTCATGAAAACCCAAATCCACAATCTCAGTAAATTAGAATGTTACATGCAATCAATAAAACAAGGAGTGTACATAGAACAATATCGGACCTCTGAAAAGTATAAGCATGCATATGGACTCAGTACTTTGTTTGGGCCCCTTTTGCAGCAATTACTGCCTCAATGCAGCGTGGCATGGAGGCTATCAGCCTGTGGCACTGCTGAGGTGTTATGGAAGACCAGGAAGCTTCAGTAGCGGCCTTCAGCTCTTCTGCATTGTTCAGTCTCATGTCTCTCATCTTCCTCTTGGCAATGCCCCATAGATTCTCTATGGGGTTCAGGTCAGACGAGTTTGCTGGCCAATCAAGCACAGTAATCCCACGGTCATTGAACCAGGCTTTGGTGCTTTTGGCAGTGTGGGTAGGTGCCAAGTCCTGCTGGAAAATAAAGTCAGCATCCCCATAAAGCTCGTCTGCAGAAGGAAGCATGACGTGCTCCAAAATCTCCTGGTAGATGGCTGCGTTGACCCTGGACTTAATGAAGCACAGTGGACCAACACCAGCAGATGACATGGCTCCCAAAATCAACACAGACTGTGGAAACTTCACACTGTACTTCAAGCATCTTGCAGTGTGTGCCTCTCCATTCTTCATCCAGACTCTGGGTCCTTGGTTTCCAAATGAGATGCAAAAGTTGTTCTCATCAGAAAAGAGGACTTTGGACCACTGAGCAACAGACCAGGTCTGTTTTTCTTTATCCCAGGTAAGACGCTTCTGATGTTGTTTGTTGTTCAGGAGCGGCTTGACAAGAGGAATACAACATCTAAAGCCCATGTCCAGGATCCGTCTGTGTGTGGTGGCTCTTGGTGCACTGACTCCAGCCTCAATCCACTGCTTGTGAAAGTCCCCAACACTTTTGAATGGCCTTTTCCTGACAATCCTCTCCAGGCTGCGGTCATCCCTGCTGCTTGTGCACCTTTTTCTTCCACACTTTTCCCTTCCACATAACTTTCTATTAATGTGCTTTGATACAGCACTTTGGGAACATCCAACTTCCTTCACAATTACCTTTTGAGGCTTTCCTCCTTATGGAGGGTGTCAATGGTGGTTTTCTGCACAACTGTCAGGCCAGCAGTTTTCCCCATGATTCCCCATGTGATTCCTACTGAACCAGACTGAGAGACCATTTAAAGGCCCATAAACCTTTTGCAGGTGTTATGGCTTACTTAGCTGATTAGAGTGGGACACGGTGACCCTAGAATATTGCACCTTTTAACAATATTCTAATTTACTGAGATTGTGGATTTGTGGTTTTCATGAGCTGTAAGCCATAATCATCGCACTTATGACAAATCATGGCTTGAACTATCTTGCTTTGCATGTAATGCGTCTATCTCATATATTAGTTTCCCCTTTTATGTTGCATTACTGAAATAAATGAACTTTTTCACGATATTCAAATATTTTCGAGTATCACCTGTATATAACAAAAAAAGGTGTAGAATAAACAAATAATATAATATAATTTAAAAAAAATCATATATATATTAAAAAATCAAGCAATAAAAATGCATTTAAAAAAAATCTTGATGCCCCTGGAATCACGCCTACCTTAAGAGGTTAAACCTTAAGAGGTTAAACATCCAACCACCCCTTCCCCTCACCCCTACCCAGCAAAACTTTTTTTTTTTTTTTAGGAAGCACGGAGTGTCGCCGGGCAGGAGTTTTCCAAGCCAATTTAGTGAATGGGGAGTACCTGATTGGCTGGGAGTGGTCAGCTGACTGCTCTCAATCAGCTGTGCCCCTGCTCTGCGGCACCACGCTCTTTCTGTAAGTCAAAATTCTGAAGGTGGATGCTGCTGGTGGGAAGCTGAGACTGGTTCTGGAAGCAATTTAGGGGTTAGGAGAATGGTTTAACTCCTTGAGGCAAGAGTGCCTCCAGAGGCCGCCTGGCACCAGAACAATTTCATTTAGATGAAGTTGTTTTGGTGCCTGAAGTGTCCCTTTATCCATTTAGAAACAATAATATAAATATACAGACTGTATACTTTATTCATTAAAGTATTCATTAACGTAATGAGTGTGTTTGATTACAGGTCTGCTCTGCACTCTTTCTGCCTCAGGAGATTTAAATATTTTGACATACATCCATACCACTAGCTGTAAAACTTTAAAAATTATATAACATCATCTTTATAAGATAAATATGGAATTAAACTTCATTATATGACCTTTTAATTAGGTCATGCTTCCACAGTTATGCCAACCCCAGTCTAAAGTTATTTCATTCTTACATGGAAATTGAACTACTTTATTCCTAAAACGTTCTGTGTTTTTACATTTGTTGAGACCTTAATCCTGCAAATTATAGATCACTTTGTTCACCATTTATGTAGAATACTTGGAAGCGATGGGTGCTAAAACAGAAGCCTGGTCAGACATTAAATGTACTGCAGCACAAAAGAGAGATATGCATTTAAAGGGCATATATTTATATGAGCTGCTAATGGATTGATTATAAAATTATACTCAACACACGGGGATTCGCACATAAACTAAAGATATTTTACAGCTTTCATAATAATTATGCAGTGTGCTGCAATCTTCCAGTCTGACAATCTAACAATCCAAAACTTGAGGTGGAGGGCTGGGGACATGTCCTGTACATACACTGTATAAACACTGTATAAACAAGTTGGATAGATATTGGACAGCAAAGGAAACAGTACCCTTTTATTTTCTGGATGTCAATAATCCTGGTGGGCGGCTTATAGATGTGGCGATTATTAAAATGACTGCAGGTATAAGCCAAGCTGGGCACTGAGAATAATCTAGGCCTCAGCATAGGTTCTTATGGTGCTTAGAATAACTCTTTACACAAGAAACTTCAAACTCATCTTACCTGGTGCCAACGGCCAAATCATACTGTTGCTTATAGGGAAACTATAGGCATCCAGACCAGTTCATCTCTGTGGAGTGATTAGTCCTTTAGTCCTGCAACGTAAAACACTGCAGTTTTTGAGAAACTGCAGTGTTTACATTGCAGTACTAAGACAGTCTCTAGAGGTGCTTCTAGGAGTTTACGAAACTCTGGGTCCC